TTATGCAAGAACTTATTACACTGGGATAGGGCTCCGGTTCAGGAACCCGCACCTTGTGTCCTTCGCCCACCTAAGAGATCTGAGCTTTTACCGTGGTTTTATTTCTATTAAAGAATAAATGTTTTTCATAAGTAATATTTTTCTTAGGTATACAATATTCCGTAAATTTTGATTTAATTTCATTTTATTTCATAGTTTTACCTTCTTCTACTAAAAATGTATTATATATTTCAACAGCGCGAATTCCTATTACATGAAGAAAAGTACTAACTCTCACAGTCTCTTCTTTATGTTGTATATGTATGTATTATAACGGCTACTTTATAAATTTTGAACGATTGCTTCAAAACAGTAATATATTATCTCAATGATATTTACAGGGGAAATTACATTTCATTGCAATGAGTTACTTCCTCCTTTTGTATTTTAAAGTATTTATGAATTTGGTTCCTCTTTATGGCTATGTCCCAAATTTTATAGCACAATAAAACGTTATCAATTTTTCAGTTATACAAAATTTTCGAATCCTCAAACACTTCAGTTGAAAATACTAGTTTTAGTTATGTATTATGAAATTCATTTCAAATTTCATTAATAGTATAACTTTCCTAGCTGAGGAAAAAAGAAGAAACTACTATCCATCGAGATTTTACATTTTGCTTGATCAAATCTTGTGCCTCTTTCCTTTTTTTCTCTAGATTGAAGAAAGGAATAAATTACCATGCAAAAGCAATTCGGTAAACTTTCCATATCTCTCTGAAGAACTCAAGGCAAATTAGAAAACTGGCCTTCAGCTCTTAACTTAAGCACACTTCCCTTTCCATATCAACATTTGAATATTTTGGTACTGAAATGTTCAAAGAACTAGAGTTTGAGATACAAATTCATTGGTTTATCTTTAACACCTAAAGCTGCATCACATAATTGGTCTTCATCCTTCAAAAGGAAAATGGAGATTTGTAAGGCAAGTGGAAAACAATCCTAATTTGAAAGATATGGATTTAGCAAGAAAATTCAAAATCTAACATTCCATACTGATAACATTCATCTAAAAATGTAAGAATATTTAATCAAGGAGAGAAACTTCAATTTCGAAATGGAAGACTTCATGATTTTGATAAGCTTCTCTTACAATAATAATGATGGAAGTGCTGCGAATCTATCATTAGCGATATATACAACAGTCGGAATATCTGTCTTTTGAAAAAGTGACAATTTATAACACTAAAAGAATTCCAAATTGAATGCTGTTCATAGTGCAGAAGAGACAGGATTACTTTATAATTTACTGTTGTTTAAACCAATAACACAGAAATATGTTACTTATCATGGTATATAGATTAACAGATGTCAACTAACTATTTATATTGATGCTGATAGTTTAGAAAGATCACCACCATTTATTGTTACAAATTCTAAATTCACTATTCTAAAACTACTGAATTCATCACTTATTGTTGGTCTCGTTATTTTAAAAAGGTCAGGTTCTATGTATTAAGTTAGTGGTGGTAAAAGTGCATAGCTAAGTATACCTTTAATTATAAAATGAATAAAAGAATTAGATGAGTAGATGAATGTTAAGAAACGGAGTATATTACTAGTCACCGAAAAGTCCAACTCATCATCCTGAGACTAAATTTCTCTAATATTTAAAGCTAACTGGCTAATTATAAAAGTAATAATAGCCATTATGTTTAAACATCCTTTCAGCATGAAAGACAACTACAGATAATTCTTAGTGTAGTTACGTATTGTTAATCTGGTGGTGTGGCTACAGCGGACGTAGTTAGAGCGGACACATACGATTTCGTGGTCAGAGCGGACACTTCGAAACTCATCGTGGTTAGAGCAGACACATCTTTTCCCCATCTTAGAACAGATAAAAGGTACAGATAAATAAGTAAAGAAATACTTTTAAAAATCACAAATATAATTTGAAACAGTATTTTAAGTAGCAAATCTCTTTCTGAGTGAGACAACTTGATTTTTACCGAAGTTTACTGTTTTTGCACTCGTTTTTGCCCCTGCTTACAAGGATAAATACATTTTTGCCAATCAAATTTAATTATTTATATTTAAATTGTTATGATATTATAGTGCAAGTGCATATTAAACATAGCGAAATTTAATAAAAATAAAACCTTTTAGAGAAATATTTAAAAATTAATAGTCAGTATAATGAAGGGTGTGAACAAATTTTAGTACGTCTGGAAAACTGTATTTAGAGTCAAATAAATATTAGAACAGGTGGCAGCTGTCATAAAATTAATTAGTTTCATTAATGTAAGTAAAAATAAATACTAGAAGTAAAATATACAAAACAAATACAAGTAAATAAAAGAACAAATAAATAGAAGTGAAATAAATATTAACTAACCTTTATTATAATGGCATAAATATCATTTACCATTGGATTTAGTTCAACCCAAGTTACAAAACTTAAAGATTTTAGACAATTTTCTAAACTGTTTGATGTTCCGAATTCTTTTAGGATGTTTTCAATTCTTTCATTTAATTTTACATATGCTTTTTTCCTTTTTATTCCAGGGTCGCCTAATTCTCTGGCTTTCAAATTAAAAGATACTTTTTGTGTTTCTTCTTTCAGTATTTTAACTAATAAGTGCACATTAGGCTGGTTTCTGCCAGCGGTTGCATTTAATTTGGAATTCCACCCTTCAGCAGAATTATTTATTCTATGATGCTATCCATATGCATTCTATATTTTAATGGGCATATTTGGATTGTCCAACCACTGCTCGACAAAATAATCAATGGATGTGGTACGTTTGTCAATGCTAAAAGATTTTCCCCATAAAATGTTCTAAGCATCATCTATGTGTTCTGTTGGCAAGTAAGCTAATGCAGAAACCATTCTGCAGACATTTCTTATATCTTCGTTCTCTTTATGTTCCTTTACTAGACCAATTTCTTGTATCTTCCGCCCCAAACATTAATTAAAATGAAAGTTACAACCGGAAATAGTCGAACTGGGAAGTTCTAACATACAGCTATTGATGGCTGCAGCTTCAAAATCCAATTTTATAATCTCCGGCTTCCACTTAGGGCACCAATGCTTCACTTCCTGAAACATTGCAATGTAAGTTGCTTGTCTCTTACCAGGTAAAAATGGAAAAAGCGCTGGATAAATGTTGGTCTTAGTTGCCGAACTCCTTAAGTTGACGTGTGTTGTATGTATTTGAGCAAACTGCTTCGGATAACTTTTAAATGTTCCATCTAAGAAAAAGTCTCCATTTTCCAAAAGGTACCAAGATTCTTCTCCTCGAAATGCTAAAATCCTGTTATCTTGGTCATTTTTAAAGTCTAAACGAAGAAAGGTTTTTTCTCCATTAAAAAGCATAAGTGTATCATTTGCAAACCGATTGTCGTTGGCATTTTGGAGATTTTGCGTAGCTCCCAAAGCCTTTCTCCTCTCCTTACATAAAACAGTCTTGGCACTGGAGTATATCGGTCTTTTAATAACGAAATCATAAACTTTATGATATAATTCTGAAAGTTCTTCTTGAAATATCCGGGGAACAGGAACTGATGTTTCTTCTCGGACTCTTTTTCTGTAAGTCTCTAACTTCCTTTTAATTTCGATCTCAGCAATGTTGGGCACGCAGGAATGTTCAGTTTTTTCTTCAGTCTTTCGTCTTGAAAAATTGTCTTTGCATTTCCTTTACAACGATGTGTCTTTTCTTTTACACATACCCAACTCATTCCTAATTTATTTTTTCGGTGTAAACGGTGTGGGTAATCATCTAGAAGTAAACATTCTTTTTCTTTTTTTGTAAAGAGTAATTTTGAAATGGCTATGGGTTCCATCACATTTTTTCGACGCTATAAAACGACACACTTCATAAGGAGCAAACATCTACTGAGAAATTGACAAAAACCTTTTCTCTTAAAAGTATTGGCTTATCTCTACAGCTGGTGCAAAGCTCGAAACCACCACATGGCATGTGACTAATTACGGAAACAACACAATAGGTGCAAGCATGATGGCTCTGCCCACCCAGCTACTCTCACGTGTCCGCTCTGACCACGTAACCATTAATCTAGACCAAGTGTAATTAAAAAAGTAAAAAAGTAAATAAAAAAAAAATCTGAAAGGTTTCAGATTTTAAATTACGTCTAAAGGGGCGTCTTTTAACGTATGTTACCTTTATTTATTTAATATCACGTTGTCTGCACTTAAACCATAAAATTATGTTCAATAGCAATGTCCCAAAATAATTTTAAAATGAGCATATCTTTAGAATTTCAGATACACAGTTCCGCGCGCTGGAGATAAAAAGGTTTTTTTCCCCCCCCCCCCTAGAGTGTGGTTATTGCTTGCTTTTAAATCGTTGAGTTTGTTAATCAGAAATTCGTAAAAGTTTTACAAAATATGAAATCGATAATAAAACAAATTCCGAATTGGGGCTTTCAGATGCCCATATTCGCAGTAGGATTACGTCATTGAAAATTGGATGACTCTACTAAAAAAATAGGTACTGCTGTTTTATCACAATGCGAAAAACATAGATACATTTATGCAGATTCTTCAAATATAATGCAAGACTCTGACATTTGGCGGCAACAGTTTGAAAAGTGATAAGCGGTTTATAGTGATTCGATGCAAAATCGCAAAATAAAAACTATAGTCCTTCAGGGACAAAGCCTATTTGGACTAAGAGAAGTTGACACAAAGTCGGTTCTAAGCATAGGTGATACCGCTAGCTATGTTCTGACAAGCAATAACTAAATAAAGGTATATTTTCCTTTGAATTATCAATATGTTTGAATTCATAAGGAGCATCAGCTATAATAATCAGAAAAAGAATTAAAAGTGTTATAGGCAGGCCTGAAATGACATCTTTTAAGTTATAAATTTCATAGTAAATAAATTAAAGAAAAATCATCTTCCCTCCCCAAAAAATGTTTTGAGAATGCATCACAAACTTTCTCATCCTAAAAATGTCTGTGATAAAAAAAATTAAGGCAACTGAAAAGAGAAATACATCTGATTATCCAATTTATTGAAAATATATTAAGCTTAATTTTCTATATATAAATATCATAAATAATTTATTATTACTTATGCTTCTATTTCCCTGACACAAGAAATGCAACACCATAATGTAAATTGTAGGGAATATACACAAAAATGATTTAATAAATAATAAAAAATACAAGTTAGCAATGGTTAATTAGCAAGATAAAACAGAAGCAAATGTCAGATGAGTCAAGAGTTGGAACAAGAATCAGATGACAGAACTCTGTCATTACTCTGTCTGGAAACACATATTTCAAGATGACTTTCATGTCAGAAGACACGAGTAGTTGAGAATTCCTTGGTTTCACATCAATCAAACATTTGTGGGACATGATTGGCTTTCCTTTGTTTGATCTTCCCTATGCAAATAGAAGGACAATAGAGAAAACTGAAAGCATATGGTCATCCATCTCTCAGGGTAATATCCGCATGTTAATTTCAGCTGTATCTCAAAGAGTTGCTTTTTATATTACAGCAACAAATGTCCTACTTCCTGCTGATCACTGCATCTTCAAAATAGTAATACAATGCAATGATAGTCGATCATTATATTGAATTATCTGTTTTAAATTAAAATTTATTTATATACATAATATTGTGCTAATTTTCATCACATTCTACTAATTCTTTTATTGTGCTGCATTTTCTATGTGAGATAGTGCATTATATACCTCTAATGATATTTAAATATCAGTACATAATATCTGATTACAAATCACACAATTTTAATAAATAATGATTCAACGTAATTACTTTCATACAGATCAATGAAGTAATATATCTGTTATGTGATTAGACATTGAATTAAAACTTCTTTTGATTTTTCATATGATCCAAGGAAAATAGCGCCTCCTAATGATATCCACAATACACGTGGAACTGCACCAGCAAATAAACTGAAATTACATAAACATTCACAAAAATGAATAGAAATCTTCAAAAAGCCTTTAATTATGTTTATCAAAACTCAGTATTAAAATACAGTTAAAGAAATTATGGGAACATATTTTTTACATATAGCTCATAATTATTTAGAGACAGTAAGATTAGAAGTAAAATAAAATAAAAATGCATTCAAAGCCACATTTATTGCAGCAGTAAACAACATAAATACATAATATTAATTTAAGAAGATACAAAACAGATATTTAATACATCATGAAAGAAAGTAAAAATAACCTTTAACTGAAAATAAATAAAAAATTTTAATTTTTAAAAATAGAAGAACAAATGGGCAGGGGAAGAAGAGAGATTTTGAATGCCTTTCGGAGCAGCCACAAGCTTATCAAAATTAACTACTTTTACAAATCCAAATTTGAATAATTTTTCTAATTAATTGAATTTTGAACTGGAATTAAATCATGAAACAACACTTTTTTGAAAATTCAGAACAATATGAGCAACTTCATTTTTGGTAATAAATTTAATTATTTAAGCTATTTATTACTAAATGTTTGTTTAAGCCAATGATATGTTAATTATTCATAACTTCAAAGAAAAATTAATGATACAACCATTAATGGAAAATGACTTTAATGGAAAAAAAAAAAAAAAGGGAGAGAGACGATTTCCATGGAACAAACTATTATCTAAGCATAAGATGTCTGATTTTTTTTTTTTTTCCCAAAATAACTAACCCTTTCATGGATATTAAAATATATATAGCATGTTCCATATTCTCTTCATAACTGAGTATGCCTGTAAATATTATAACACATGAATCTGGATATAGCAGTCTCAATTCTGTAACCATACAGAGTGGTTTTCAAAGTGACTGACATGAAGCTCTGCCCTTTTTTAATTGTCTTTCCACAACTATTATAAAATAAAAAAACCTGTCAACTGATGATTAACTAACATAATGATGTCTCTCCTGCATTGTAGATGTGATGACAAGAATATATAATTTTCTACATTGAAATAGCTGTCTTGTTCCATTTAGCAGACAATCAAAAATATCAGTCATTGATTACAATTACAACCACAGGTTTTCCTTCATCAGGTAGCTATGGCAAGGATATACTGTTTTGGACTGCAGTAAGTATCCTGTTCCATTCGGCAAACAATCAAAGATAACAATTATTGATTTTGGACTGCAGTAAGTATCCTGTTTCATTCCGCAGATAATCAGAGATAACCCTTATTGGTTGCATTTATTAGCATAGCTTTTCCTTTTCTGAAACTCTGAGATATTATTGTTTGATAATTTTGAAATGGCTCCAAATTTTTTAATCACAAAATCGCTGATAAGTTATGTATATTTTGGTTAGCTTTTGTTTAACTGATACTTTCTGCTTATGTTCAGTTATCAAATGATAAATTATTAACAGCAATAATATTACAAATTATTTTTATCTTATCAAAATACATTTTCACAATTGAAACAGTTAAAAATAATCTTAAAATTCTAGTTTTGTGATAGTTAATTGCTATATACTACTAATACTGCCTTTTTTCTCCTATGCAGTAGAGATTGCATTTTACTTATTGCAAGCTATGTAAATCAAGCCGTGAATTCCCAATTTCTTTTCAAATTTTTCTTTTACCTTTTCTTTCTTTATTATTTTCACATCTTTCTTCATTAAATTCTTACAAATTTTGTGCTCTGTAATTTATGCAAACTAATGAAACGACATTATTCACAATTTTTTCCAGATTCCAAAGCTAATGAAAAATCTAACAATTTGTAATGCTATGAGGTATGCGTTTGTAGAAATATCTTCCATAATTATATCATATAAGCAGAAAGAAATTTACACCTTATTGAAATAAACGAAATATCGCACTTGGTAAGCAATTATAAATAGAAGAAAAGAGGAAATGAGGCAAATTCACCTTAAAAGTCAAGAAATTTTGTGCATTAACAAACTAAATCACAGAAAACTTTTAAATCCAAGTCCCAGATTCTAAAATTAATCACTAAAATCTTTGAACAGACTCTCATGGTTCAAATACAGTCATACATACATGGGCAACCAGCATTTCTGGAAGCTTTAGGAAAAATAAATCCCAAGTCCCTGAAAAGGCATTTTCTCAAAACCTCGAGAATGTCACCAAATTCATGAGAATTTGGCAAATATAGTCAAATTGGCAACAAAAATTGTCATGGAAGTTTTTGCCTGTATTTCAAATTTTAATCGAGCTATTATTTCAATTTAAAAGTTGACCAACTCGGAATAATGGGATCTACCCCATTCTAACAAGAACTTACAAACATAAAAATGGCCCCATATTTGATAAAATCCAAATGCATAACAAAACTATTACATAACTACAGTAAATATTATATATATAAACAAACAAAAACAATAGGTAAATATGATAAAAATATACAAAAAATCAATATTCATTCAAATAAACATGAGTATTTGCAACAATTATGCAATAGATAAATAACATTCCTTATTATTTCAAAAGACACTTATTATGAGTTAGAAGGTTATCATTAGACAAGATGACTTCAATTGTTTACTTCTCTTGTTAACGTTTATATAGCTATTTTTTTTTTTTTTTTAAAGTTTTTATTCTTAATTGAAGCATGTAATAAAAATAGTAGATTTTATAAGGTAATGATTGTTATTTGATTCTGTGCAATGACTAAACTGCTGAAATTTCAAAATATCAACTATCTTAAACCATTAGAGGAATATGCTAAACCCCCATTTACAAAGGAATAATGTTGAACCATTATTTACAAAGGAATATGTTATACAATCATTTACAAAGGAATAACCATGCAGTTTTACAGTAACTTGCATGGAAAATTTATTGTTGAAACTAGAAGGAATTTTAAATGTTGTGAATGTAAACTGCAGATTTTCAGATTTAAAGTCATAAAAATTATTCAGGAATGCAATCTATATTAGATGGTAGTTCAGGACATTTTATTTCTCTACTACATTCATCGTTAGATCCAGCAATTACTGCATCAGAAAATGCATCAGCTATAGTTTCATTAATCTACCAGAATCGAACATCTAAATAAATTTCAAAATATTCATTTAAAAGCTATTAGAAACAATAATCTGTCATTTAAAAAACTGTCAGCAAATTCAGAATATTTTTAAAAAATATTTTACATACAGTTTTAATGTTATTTTGCATGGCATATGTTTAATTTTGCACTTCAACTCCAATAAGATCTTTAAATATCACTCATTAAATTATTTATGGTCAATTGTAAATATGTAGATAGAATTTAATCATATCTTGATGATTTAATAACATTTTGTTTGAAATTTATGCCTTTATATCTCGATGAACTAAACAGAAGTTTTTAAAAGATTTCCCTTTTAAAAGTTACAATGCAGTTTTGACTAGCATATTTTTATGGATTTCTTTCATGTTTAGTAAAAAAAAATAATATTTTTTTAGATTCAGTAAAAGAACTTCAAGGGTGAACAAAAACTGACTGAAAACAAATATGTTGCTAATCATAATTAATAAACAAAATATAAATGACTGAAACTCATGCAAGAATTAATGCATGCATGTTAAGATTACACATGTATCTTTCATTTGCAATTTTATGAAAAAAGTTTTTGAAGATTTTGAAAATAGCATTTTGAAATCTGGATTTCCAAATATTACTATATTTTACATGCTTTTAATTGTATACCTACAATGCTGTAGGTGATATATATACGTAATATATTTTGATGATTGGGAGATAATAGCAATAGACTAGTGCAGTTTGAATCAGACTAGCAGATAAATGTGGCCATAGATACATAAGGGATGAGTTTTATAGACGGAAGTGGCCGAAGACAAGACATAACGTATTGCTGGACATTCTTGAGATACATATTCTCAGCCACACATCATACTGTTGTATAGCTTATATTTTCAGACAATGGGTGACAAACAGCAGAGAGATGGGTGATGTATGCTACAGTGCAAGGGAAAGTTAAGTACACATTCATCAGCAGTGATCTAAATATTTGTTGAAATTTTGATCTATGATTGGATAAAAAATATCTGCAGTGTTACATGTTACATAAGATGGCATAATATATGATGCATTTTAGATTCATATTATGAACAATTAGTAATTTTAGGACAGGAAGAAGAAGTAATTTTAGGAAGGAATAAAAAAGATTATTGCCAAATTATAGTTTTCTTTCATATTTTATCTCTCTTTCTTTCACATATACACACACACATATATATAAAACAAAATAAAAGAATTAATAAAAATTTCAAAGCCATCCCATATTCAACACAGTAGAAACAATTAGAATTAAAGTCAAGAAGCACAGAGATAAACTGCAAGATAAGGTGCAAAAACTATGCACACCAAAAATGAAAACAAAATAAGAAAAACGGAGAACTTATTTATTTCTCTCATTGCATTATTGCTAAGGATTGTGCAATGAAAGAAGTAAATAAATTAGCATGTTTTTGAACTGACAATGACACAAATTACAATTTAGAATTAGATAATTCAAAAAACCAGAGAAAATTAATCAAAACAATTTGTGTCTTTATCAGTCCAATCCATAGAAGTGACTGGATAGTTGACTGGAGTAACCAAATTAAAATTGTAAAAAGAACTGAAATTGTAAGTCAACAGCATCAAAATGTTAAATTTGTTAAGTTTTTTTTTAAAATTGTGTGAGCAGATTGAGTTTACAATTTTAAATCCATCTGCACACATGTAAAACAGACCACAAAATATATGTCACAGTAAATATTAGATACAACAAACAGAAAAAATCTAGAGTTAGTTCTAGAAAGTGTAACAGTAGAGCAGCTCTGCTGTTACAGTTTTGTTTATTGTGGCATATATATCATATGCTGCTTTAAAGGTGTGTAGATGGATTTGTAGCTTAGACTTGATCTGCTTGAAAATTAAAAAAAAAAAAAAAATTTTAACAAATTAAATTTTTCATGCTAT